TCCATGTATTTTTAGTGGCGTTTTTAGCAGCTACTCTTACTTCACTCAATAATGTTCAAGCTCCTTCATTCACTGACACAAGCTAATGTGCTGGGTTCAGTATTAGAGTTCGCTCACAGTAAATTCCTCTTGCAATTATCCGAAGACGGAGCTTGACGATGTAGTTCATGTCTTGACTAATGTACTCTCACTCCACCATCATTTTTTTCCTACTATCCGTTCGAATGTAACAAATGAGAAGGAGAATAGAAGTAGAACAAGTGGATACCACTCTAGTCTGCAGCAGTCGGTCTTAGGTGAATACAACATGAATTTACTTTCCGTGATGGCAGTCAAACTCGTCCTCGTCCACTCTTTCATTCCGAGCCAATTTCCTTGAAGATCGAGTTTGACGTCAGTGTCCACGATAGACCCACTTCAGGCTCTTCGTTCAGTTCAAGAATTGATGGTTCAAGGATTCCCACGAAAAGAAGTGACTCATCAAAAAAGGTTGCTTGGGAAAAGTCCACAGTCCACGTAGTCCACTACCACTACCCCACAACCGTTTTTAATGTCACAGTTACACTACTGAGAGAGATTTATGACTTTCTCTACGAGGTTTTACTCACCATTCACCTCGTCATCTCTTGCAAGTGATCTTTTCAAAATAATTCTCCATAGTGCAGGCTTTCTACAAACAGACGTTGCCCACATAGGTGACAAAAAATCAGGTATTTCAGGCCTAGGACGGCAGTGAATCCTTTCTAGGCCGATTCAGTGATTTACATCCCTTAGACTGTATGCTTACAAATCGGGCAGAAGAAGGGCTGACCTGGCTTCTTTATATTACTCGGTAGCTTTTTATTGATAAAAAACGCCTTTTCTTTCGAACTTGATTGGAAAATTGAATGTGTGGGCGCCCAGATAAATGGATTAAGGAAGTTTCAGTGCAGACATTCACGTCTTGCAACATCCATTTCAAATTTTCGGCAATGTTCCAATTTCTTTTTTCGAACTTGATTCAAGGTAAATGGATGGGGCGGGATCAGTAGGCGTTCCTAGCGTACTATACTCGGAGACTCGAGGTTCAGACCTTTTTGTGAGCATTTTCACTTAGGATTCGGTCTTATCCGAGGGTAAGTGACTTTTTTCCACTTCCTAAGAGGCAGTTTTATAAGTTGTAGCCATCCCTCGTACGTGGTTGATTAACGCTAAAAGACTTGTTGTTGAAGGCCATCCCAGCTCATGGATTTCGGTAAGCAGTCTTTCCAGAACGACAGATTCTCCGTTGTTCCTCTTCTCCCACCCAACCCTTCACAACTGGTCTGGTCTTATATGGTATGAAGGTACTATTAGTGCATTTTCCTTTATGGGGTGACTTTAGCGAAATTCTGAGAATGCTGGCTGAAACAGCTGTCCTAAAATGACAACTAACCAGATACCTCCCCTTCAACCAACCTAACTAGCATAACCATGAAAAGCTTTTAGAAATTTTTGAGTTGGGCATATTCTGAAAAAAGCTACTCACCCAAGTAGACCCCTTACGAAGTCGAAGGCGTGGGCGCACCCCTCAGAGGGAATTGATTATCACAGGAAGACTATCCTTCATTCATCGAGCTCAGATTTCGGAGGACTCTCTGGACCCGAACATTCTGAGAATGCATGATGGATTACTCTGACTTCCTTTGTAGACCCTGAATCATTATCATAGTATGCAAGCTAGCCCTCATACACTGACTCCTCTTTACTTAAGTAAAATGGAGCTCCCAATAGGAAAGGGGAACTCTTAAAAACGCTTTTTCTGTGTTATTCCTCATCACCCTGTTCTCCAATTCGCCCTTTGTGATCAACCTAAGACCGCTAATAATATTTCGAGTTAATTTTCAGATATGAAAATCCTGCGGTTCTGCTTGCTCCTATTTGGAATTGAAGGAGTATTCTCCCAGGTGAAGCCAATCTTCATGTGTTGGTTTCTTTGAGTCACTCTCGGTAACTAAGGGAAATAAGTTATCTTTCAGTACATCGCAAACGACGTGGTCAGTGACTACGGGCAGGTTAAGGAGCTACTCGCGCAATACTACCGTAAACATGCAAAAAAAGCCGGCAATGACTATGTGAGTGCAAAAAAAAACTTTTCTGATGTCGATACGATACGATAAAACAAGCTTTCCTAACAATTATTTTGACTTGAGAAATTTGAGTAAGAGGCAGGCCCACTAGAAAAGTCCAAAGTATTCGGAAAATCATTGAAAACATTACCTTCTGGGTCCTCCACTGCCATCACCTCTCACTGAAGATCTGAGAATAGGTAGTCACTATAGCGCGTGAGCTATCCCATGAGGAACACGAAATACGGTACATGGCTGACTAAGGGTTGGAACTTAGCTGGGACACTGTGAGAGCATGGTTAGCAACGAGCTTCGCTACCTAAGCGTGAATTGTAGGAAGCATACAGTAACAAGTGATGGTGTTATCACATGCATGGTTGGAGAATCTGGTGCCTGATAGGAACTATGGCGGGGCAGCGGTCCAGGGCAATGAAGCCCTCCGTGCATCCGGGTTGGATACTTGATGCCAGACTCGCCTGGGAGTATGACTTCTACTTTAGATGACCAGTGTAAGTCACTGTGGAATTCACATACACTTTCATAAAGCACTACGATTCTCAATGGAAGCTGAATGCGGGGCGCATTCCACCAACGGGATTGATTAACGCCAATTTTTCACCTCAATTCGCTACAACGTTTCTATATTGGAATCATTTTGACATTGTAAAATGACTAGATTATCTGCGACCAAGTTTTTGTAACATGATTGTACTGAAAGAAAACTTTTCTGAACAGGACCCCTCAGTCGTCCGAAATCAAGCTACCTCTAAAATGTTTTATGATGGTACAGAAGCTACAGTAAACAGATTGATTTGGACTGAAGTCTTTGAGAATGACATCATCCTCACACTACCTCAAGCAGAAGCGCTTCTGACGGAGTCAGGTAGGAAATACGAATGTTTTGGAGATTTCAAGTAAGAGATTCAATTTCAGCCGGCTCTCGAAATAAGAGACAAGCTAGTCCTTCGGCATATTCTTTCTGGCCAAATCTCACTGTTTCATATGAATTCGCATACAACGATGGTGAGTATTTCGATTGTGTTGTAGGCCAGAGGCTTTTTCAGAAGTTCACTAGCTTACTCGTACTGTTTCTACCATTCCTGGATCATGGTTCTGATCTTAATTGGAAGGAAAGATGACGGTGCCGAGTTTAAAACTATCAAACCACACTGTAGAGACAGTACCCTGAAGAGGTCGAAACATGGGAAGCCGTCCCCGAACTCGTGTTCATTTTTCTGAGTCTCGGCACGAGAGGGGCAGTTCTCGCCAGTATTAGGGAGAGCAAGTAAATTGGAACAAGTTATAGCAGTAATATTCTGCTGGGGTAGGCTCCATAGGGCGTTTGGAAAAGCTCTTCAATCAAATCGCGTACCTTCAGCAAATTTCAAGAACCTCATTCGATCAGCACTACGACATATTGAGCACAACACATGCATCCGATTCAAAGAAAATGGTGGAGATAGGTTTGTCCTTAATCTAACAAATATTCTCTAACATTCGGTCGTGATGGCTATCCGTTATATTGTAGAGATGGCTTGAGATACTTCCGTGGTAACGGTTGCTGGTCTAACGTAGGACGAACAGGTGGACGTCAACTTGTTTCAATTGGGTACGGGTGTGATTCGGTAAGTCACTCCAAGTATCCCTCCATCGAGCATAACTTTTGACTTATGCTTTAATTTCTTTTGTTCTGAACGCTTCTAAATTTACTTGGGGGGAATTCTCACTTCGTTTCTCACGCGTTATTCCCCAAGTCCACGGAACTCTGATCTGGGGGTATGAGCTGGACACCTCTGCTCACGACAACATCCATGCTCAACAGTTTTGACTATGTATTCGGGAATTCCATTTGAGGTCACGAGTATCAATTAATTGAACCACAAATTTGAAGATCACTAGATCAGGTGTCTACACCCGTCAACTCAGCTGCCCTCCAGAGGAGACCACATCCTGGATGAATAAGCCCTGTAAATTCATCCCTCTCGCAATCTTTTGTACATCGTGACCTGGAGAAATGTACTCACAAATTACTTGTAACTGTGCTTTATTCGTATTTATCATACATTATCATAGAATAATATCACCTATCATACACCATAAACATCGTTTACAATTATACTTTATTCCCTTCCAGCTAGGAATCGTTGCCCACGAAACGTTGCATGCATTGGGTCTTTGGCATGAACAATCACGAAGTGATCGAGATCAATTCATCAACATAAACTTCTGGAGAATAATCAGGGTAAGGGTTTGTATTCATTTTGAGCATACTACATAGATTAATGAGGCTGAGGCGGTGTAGCGGCAAGTGGCGTACTACCACACGCGCATGGTCACGGGTTCGAAACCTGGATCGATATCCCTTGGGATAACCGTGCCTTCCATCCCTCCACGGTTGGTTAATAGGTATCGGACTCGTCTGGGAGAATAAAAGCACTGAACTTGTACTTCGGCTGGCCACTGCTATTCATTGTATAGGTCAAATACGCATCCAGTACTCAAATACAATTTGAATGGAAGTCGAGTGCGGGGAGCATCCCTCAGATGGGATTGATCATTGCTCGCTAATTATTAGCAATAGCCAGTCGCTAGGAAAACTTTCTTTTTCTATCTGATTGCATTCTCCACTATGTTCCGCGTTTTCCCATCAAATGACCCATTTCTCGCATGGACAGCCTCTGGTGATTCTCATGTGCCGGATTTATTCTACAAATCAATTCTAAGGTAAACACAACAAGCAAACACATGAACCAGTGTGCCTTACGGCTGAGCGACAACATGCTTATTCAGCGTAGTTTACTGGTATTGAAGACACAATATTCAGGGTACTGAAGGAAATTTCGAGAAACGAACCGCGCTGACTAGTGACAATATGGGGCAGCCATATGATCTTGGTTCAGTGATGCACTATGGTGCCAAAGCATTCACTTCTGATTGGACTGCGTAAGTTTTCAGTTCACCGGATGAATTCGTTTATGTTTTTTTTTTNTTTTTTTTTGCGGTAGTTGCCTCAGCATAGGCCATGATCCTGCTATCACTGAAGATAACGGCGTTAAATTGTATACCCTTTTTCTTGATGCCTTCGATTGGTCGACAATACGCCTTTCGCCGAGTATAAACTCTATCTATTTTCTCATTGGAACGGAGCATTTTCTGTTATCAAATGCCATATTTTTGACTAACGTTCCAGAAACACGGTGGAGACAAAAGACAAGCGATTCCAAAACACGATCGGCCAAAGAGATGGGATATCCTTCAAAGATGCAAAAATGATCAACTTGCGTTATTGTACAGGTTTGCCTTACTTCGGAAAACTAGGTTTTCTGGATTCAGTTTTTATTGGGTATGGTTCATGTCCGGCCAGTAATCCCACCACCCGATCGTGGGCCTCATTCGCGAAGAGGTGTAGAGCGTCCAACGGTAATGGTTGGGAAGTTGTCCTTGTCATCACCGATAATTTTCTCTCATTCGTCTCATTCTCACTTGTGTAGGTGAACGCATGCCATTACTCTTTTCTAGTCGTAATTAGGACTCATCAATTTCCTTCGTGGTCTTTTCAGAACTTCTTTGTCTCACTTCTTTCTTTCTTACATAGTCAAGGGCTGAGGCTACAGCTCGCAAAGCTGTACAGTTTTCATGTCACGACCTTTTTGGCATGTGCTGACCCACGCCAACAATAGGTGGCGAAGTGAAACAGCTCATTCTTCCTGAGAAGGCAGAATACGGCTCTATCGGTTTTGTTTCGGCTCCTTACTGTTCAGTTGGTCCCGATCATGTAACCGTTCCTTTCGTCATGGCGATTCGGTCCATTTTAGCAAACTTGATGAATTTCTTTCTCAAAACGACTTTTCGGCTTAATTGAGGAGGGGACTCTATTTTGGGAGCTGAGCCTGGGCTATTCTCTGAGTTCATCCACCCCCCTTTTTTCCGCCCTGTAAAAAGCCCTTGTTATCGTAAGACTCTGTGAGTTGGTTATTTTAGGAGTGTGCAGGACGACATTGCCTTGTGCTAATGAGGGCTATACTGATCCCAACGATTGTCAGAAATGCCGCTGTCCGAAGGGATACGGAGGAGTGTACTGCCAAGAACTAGAACGATGTAAAGTTTCTTGCAACAAAAATGAAAGTGATTGTCAGATGCTCAATGCCACAACATTTCAGCTTCATGCGGTGAAGAGCTGATTGCTACACAAGGATACCAAACCCTCCGAAGTGGACCTGTATATGCGAATACCAATTGTATTTGGAGGATACGAGTAAGTCATATTGAGATGTTTTTTGAGTCGAGCTCGAATGAGCCGAAGTATTCCCTAGCTTTGTTGGGTAGGAGTTACCATATAACCATTCCCAAGACCAATTTTGGCTCCCCAGCATACAACCAACATCGCTTCTGGGATGTGTGAAAACGTTAGTGCAAAGAGCCCATCGAGAGCCACAGAAGCTAGTATTCGTAACATCGGGCACCCCGCAATGTACTGATTTTTTTGTCCCGTATCGGGAACATACTGTACAGAATTAGAAAAAACCAAAAAATAAAATAATAACGTAGAAAAAAGCTCAAGATGACAACGCTGTTGCCTTAGGACGATGGAAACCAGTAGGTTGAGGTAAGAACAATGTAGAACCCCCTGCTGCTGCTCCATCCTGATCGGTTGAAGAATATTCCTTGAGAAATTTATATTTCTGAGTTCCTTTTACTTTCAGTCTCCTGCAGGACAGAAGCTGGAGCTCGTCATTGATTCTGTCAACTTCCCATGCCTAGACTCATGTACCAGTTTTGTTGAAATCAAAGCGACTCGAAGCAAAACTGCTACTGGTAAGACTAAAGTTTACTTTGGAGTCAGTTTTTCCCAACCGGTATGGGTACATTGGACCGAAGAGAATTTTAAATCCTATTTGTGCTATACTTTTTTGCCTGCAACTCGACATTTTTACGAGCTTTGCCGCTTTGGTATTAATTAAGAGTTTTCCTGGGAGACGGGCGTTAGGAACAATTTTGGGTATATCGATTTGTCGCACGCGGCTGTCGCGGACCACTCATTCGCTGTTATTACAGCTCTAGCGTTCTTCATACAACTCAATCGATGTGCGATCATTATTTTATGCATAATTCTACTATTAGAACTTTTATTCTTGTATTTCTTACCTACTGTGGCATCCTGCTACATTCCTTCGCGCGCGGCGCCCCTCTCACCGCGTCGCGAACATTTCGTTCCTAATGCACCACACCCGTTTTCCCTTCTTGTGATGCATTTCGAGTTCTATTAGAAGTTCCAGATGATTACCTTATTTCAGGAGCTCGTTTATGTTGCAAGGCTTCAGGACCTTTCTATTCTGAAGATGATGACATTATACTAATATTCAAAGGAGATTCACAAATTCAACCTGGTTATAATGGCTTCACTGCAAGATATCGTTACTGTACGTTCAACAGGAATATTATTAGTATTGTTATTGTAAAGCGTCTGTCCCTCTCTTGCTGGGGGCATATAGAAATGAAAAGCTAACAGAAAGAAAATTCCGGAGCATTAGGCAGTTTCCATTCACAATATTGTTTACTGGAAAACAAGAACGCTCACTTAAAGGCACTGTTCACGAAAAAAATGGCATCGGAGATCTGCACATGGTTTGAATTCGACGCCCCCTCTGATACCATTTGTGCAGGAATGAGGTCGGAAAACGGTCTGGATAGGGCACAATAAGGGCAGGAACAGTGGGGGACGGGAGGCCTCCGCCCCTCGCTAGGCTGACTACGAAATCTAATTGCCGTTCATCACTTTCGCATGGGGCGAAGTTGTCTGCTTGGGTGTGTTGTTTGCTATTGCAGACATTGCGTCGCCTACCTGCACTCGCCCGAACACTCCCTTTACCACCGTTCTTGCAATGTAAAACNCTTCCAACCCCCTTTCCAGCTCTTTTTTGACCTTTTCTATTTCTTTTTCTTCATCGTTTTTTGCGCTTTTTTCGTTGTTATCGCTTTATTCTAGAGTAGTTCTATGAATTTCCGTCAAAAAAGGGTACCCTAAATTTATCGTAAACGGTGCCTTTAAGAACGGCAAAATGGTTTCGGAGGCTTCGATCATGCCTTCTTTTGACGGACAGACAACAAACTAGATTTCTCTTAAATATTTCAATGAGCTACATCCTATTTGACAGCAATCATAACGGGTCTTCATAATCAGTTCAATGATGGATTTATTCTTCTGCACGTATGAAAATGAATGATTTGAAGAGTTATAGAAATACATATTTATTGGAGAGAACGAAAGGTCTTTTACCGTATGTCGAAGAATATACGATCCAATTCCAGTGGTTTTATTTGGTTTCGAGATTGAGTTACTGCTATGCTTTCGTAACATGTCTTAGAAAGCTCGGACTTCATAAGCGTTCCTATCTTTTTGATGATATCTTTAAAATCCGAATTCGCACTTGTTCTAAATAGAAATATTCAGCACAATAGCAGTTCCTGAGAATGTAAATTGTAAATCTGCTGTGTCGATATCATAATTTATATAGATTTCACAATATAATCAGGGTATTTATCTGCTTCAGACGGAGATGGAACAAACGTCAAACCAGCGTTCACCTATACAACCAGAAAATCTACGACGTACAAGCCACTAACAACAACTACTCCACGGGTGAATACCCCTTATATCGTGAGTCTGATTTATGTTTTAAACCAATTTAAGGCTGTGTAAGGGATAGAGATCAGGCAGGAAATTAACCACCCATCTCGGAGTTGAATTAATAACTTCAGAAATCTGCGATGGCAGTGATCTGCAGGCTTGTTTCTCTTTCTGTTGTTTTCTACCCTTGTCACACTTCCCATATTTCACCTGAATATTTTCACTATCATTATTATTATTATTATTATTATTATTATTATATTATTATTATTATTATTATTATTATTAGTATTAGTATTAGTATTAGTATTACCAGGCAACCAAAAAATTTCGTGCGGTTTTTTCTAATTGATTATTTTATGCAATGTATTAAAAAACTGATTGTTGTAGGAGGGTAACATTGCATATGCTTTTAAGCCTGTTTTATGCAGAACCATTCAGTGTGTCTCATAAGTTTAAGTAGTGCGTTTTACGTTCAAAAGTTTTTAAGAGGAGTATTCAGTGGAGTAAGTCATCAACAAAAGATTTTACTAAGTGTTTAGTGGACTACTGCAGGTATTGTTCACTGTGAGCTCCTAACAAGTGGAGAAACCATTACTGCTGGGATATACTCAGCCAAATCGGACAGAATTTCGGTTGCTCTTCGCCAAAAAAACCAGCTTTGGCGAACAGAAAATTTGTTGTATTCCACCAGGACAACGCCAGAGCGCACCCAGCAAGAATCACGCGGGAAACTTTAGTACGTTTAAGATGGGAAATTCTGCCTCACACTCCATATTCACCAGATCTTGCCCCGAGCGATTACCTTCTGTTTTTGCCCTGGATAATCACATGAAGAATCTGCAGTTTCAAAGTAGATAAGAGCTCGAATAGAGTTGAATCAATTTTTTTAGCTCTAAAACTCAGGCCTTTGTAAAAATGGAATATGCCAGTTCGTTTTACGGTGGAAGAAAGCCATTTTTGCTGAAGGAGTTTATTTTCCAGACCAAACTTTAGTTGAACTGTTTTTTGTATATTTATTCACCCACTTGCGAAACCGCACATACTTTTTTGGTTTCCTGATAGTATTAGTATTGGTATTAATGTTAACTTAATGTGCTCTGATTGGGAATTCAGTAGGCCGAAACACACAT